CCTCATGCTCTATGACGTGAGTGGGAGGGTGTACTTTTTTAGCATAGATATATAGAAAACGTTGTGCATGGTGGTGAGGACGGGTCATAGTGCTACCCTATACACCACAAGTCTTACCCTCTCAAGGATCTCAAAGATACTATGAATCTCGGGCTCAACTTACCCATCTTCTCGAACCGAAGCACCCCTGTCATAGGTGTCACCTTTAGGAAGATATATTCACCCATATCAAACTCGAGGTCCTTCCTATGAGAGTCTGCATAACTCTTCTGCCAGCTTTGTGTTGTTAGTATCCTCTATCTAATCTTATGCACCGCCACATGAGCTGTAGCGAACAAACCTTCGGCCCCATGAGTTGTTGTGAATCAACCTCTTTTCGGAATATAAGTGTCTGACACCTCCCCCATACAAGGCTTGTCATCTGAATCGCTACTTGGTAGCTATTATTATAGGCAAACTCCATAAGAGGTAGGACACGATTAATACTGGTAACCCATGCAGACGAACAACTACCCGGATGTACAACTGAACCCATCAACCCACTTGAAACGTACTCTTGCTTGGTATGAAGTGAGATGTCTTGGTGAGTCTGTCAATGTGATATCCCACATTCGTTAGAAAGTGGAACGAAGTGTTCATTTTAAGGGTGTGAAAACCTCTCCATAGTAGACATGTTTTAAAACCTTGAGAGGAATTCCTTGGAGGGAAAGCCTAAAGAGAACAATATTTTGTAACAGTGGACTTAGGTGGTTACAAATGGTATCAGAGTCAGCAAGAACGTTGGGCCCCCAAATGAGTGGATTTTGAGATCCTACATTGGTTGGAGAGGAGAACAAAATATTGCTTATAAAGGTGTGAAAACCTAGTAGACGCGATAATCTAGATCACATCATAACCTTTCCTGGTTCTAGGTAAGTTCAATTTGAAGTCCATGCTCACTTCCTCTCACTTTTACTAGGGAATGTTCAACGGTTGCAGCAACCCTGTTGGATGATGTCTCGGAGCCTTCACTTGTTAACAAGGTCAAACAGCGGCTCGCATACTCTGCGAACATGTCTTCATTTCAGACCACCAATAACAACTGTTCAGGTTTTGATACATCTAGGGTGAATTGTAAAGGATGTCTTGTGAGCTTCATATAAAACCTTCAAAATTCTCTCATCCTTAGGTACACACGGACGACCTTGTCACAAGAACCCGCTATCTGAAGAAAGTGAAATTCTCTCGGTTCTCTCTGCCTCCTGCATATCACAGACCTTACTGAACTGTATGTCTGCAATCTGTGACAATAATACATGGCTAGCTGCATTGTTACCCCTCTGATCACCATGACAATCTCAGCTCTCGTAATCTCATCTGTAACTTGCTCCGTTTGGTGACCAATGTAGAGGTATGAGTTGTCTTCCTACTCAAGGCATCTACTACAGCATTACTCTTACTTGGGTGGTAAAGGATCTTGATAACGACCCTAGATTTCTAATAATCTAAAGTTGCTACGGTCATCCTTTCCTATGCCCTTATGCAAAATTAAACCTTTAAAACTTCATCATAAAACATTGTCATAGACTTATATGTTCAAAAGTATCTTTAAAACAACATAAGGAAATACTAAATAAAACAAGTAAAATATAAAAGTAAAAACTCACCTAAGACTACGAAAATAAAATACTATTATATTATGTACGTGTCATGGTTTCTACCTGTATGTCATTATCAGTCGTACAAGGATACCTTACCTTTACTTGAAATATAAGCAACACACGACTCACACGTGTGTTTTAAGAAATACTTAGTAAGCGATCCTAATATCAGGGTTAGGGAATGCAGGCATATGCAACTCATGTTCTAGGGACCTATCGTTAAAACCATATGATAAGGCAACCCTAATGTTTAGCCCAACGATCCAAACTTGTGTTGAAGCAAGAACCCTTGAATCAAAGAAATTAACACCTTCTAATAAATATTCGGATCAATCAAGAGATAAGGCTAGAGTTACTTCTATCAAAGATCTAGAAGCGAAACCTTGTTCTAAATTGAGTCACTCCACAATCGAACTTAATCAAGGCTCGATTAAATGACTCATATTCAAACTATTTAGTCTCTAAAAAAAACTATCAATTTTTCAAATGGCCACTAAAGAATTTAGTGACCATAATTTACGCCCACTCTCTTTAAATATTCACAAAATAAAAAGTCAATTTGACAAATAACTTCCCACCCTTTCGCCCATTACAACAATTATGAAATTAAAAATAATAAATAAATTTTTCTAATCACTTATAAATCAAGTGCAATTTATAGTAACTTCATACGCTACTTCAACGGTGCAAATATTCATTTCTGAAGCTTCAAATAGTTCTTCCTCAATCGAATAAGCTTGTAACACATGAAATAATAATTGAACCGAGCCTATCCAATTTTGTAGATGAAGAATGAATACTTGTTGAATCTTCTTGGCCTTGGATCGTGTAATAGGTCCGGTTGGAATACTGTGATTCTTATCACCATCATAGGGGTGGTCTCCATTGGGCATCACCATCATAGGAGTGGCCTCCACTAGGCACATGTCGTCATACATAAGACAAGTCTTCCGATTGAGCCGATAGTAAGACCACTTACTTGGTTGGCTTAGACCGAAGCTACACAACTCCTTGAAGTTAGCTTAACATTGCTTTCTGAAATTTAATTCTATAGAGTCCAACAATCAAACAATCATAAATTAGAATTCTACTATGGAAATTGGCTCACCTAATTTAAACTTAATCCTAATGATTTAAACTAGCTAAGCCTAATGTTATACTAACCTTGAACGCTTTCAAAAAGTTGAAACGAATAAGAAAAGGGTCCGAGCGTATCAAACCCAAGTCAAATTAGCCAAAATGCTGGCCTTAAACAATAAGAAAGTGTATTCTCCGACTGGCTCGAACCATTCAAGTGGGATAATAAAATGAAGTGAGGGACCTTCCCTTGGAGGCCAACTCCTCACTTCTCAACTTAGGCAATGTGGGACAATTTTTCTTCATTTTAATTTTTTCGGGTTATTATATTCTCTCTCATGTTCAGCTCCTCTTCGGTAAACAAATACTTTAAACTCTTATTTTGTTTGCTTTTAGTCAGTCTTTTTAGTTATCGTCCAAAATTCGAAGCCTAAAAAATCAGGTCACGAGTGTTTAATTCTAACATACTAAACATTTAACGCCTTGTTTATTGAAGGACGAATGAGAATCGAGAAATGAGAATGTTAGGACTCGTGTACCCCGTTAAAAAAAAGACAATCTCATTCGTTCCATAAGACCTCATCAATTTCATACATATTCCTTATTCAATGGGTGTCACTATGTTTTCATTAATAATTTTCATTCTTATTATTTATCTCACATCTACAAATGAGACCCACCAACTTTAATTAATTATTTAGATTTTTTTCTCTTATTTTAACTACAAGCAAATTTTCCTCTCATTAAAAGCATATGTATAGATTCATTTATTACACCTAAATTAAAATTTTATATTTAATTTTTTTTTTCAAATGATCTATATTTAAAAAAAAAGTAATATCATTTTTATCCTTAAACTCTTGAATTTCCCAAAATGCCCTTAAACATTAAAATTATTCGAACAATATCTTTTTTATTAAAATAAATAATGAGAATTGACGTGACAACTGAGGTATGAAAATTAAAAGTCGTACATATAAAAGAAAAAGGCGTTTATTTTATAATATATAGACAAAATAATTACTCATTTAAATAATTATTTGCATGTTTAGAGCTTTTAAATTTATTTATTTAATACATTTTTGAAAAGGTAAAAATGATAATAAAATGATTATCTCATTTCTAAAAATGATAGATAATTGAATTAGCTCGACTAAAACTAATACTAATACTAATAATAATAATATATATATATATATATATATATATATATATTATTTTATTTATTTTTGGAGTTTATAATATAACGTACATATGACTCGAGAAACCGATTAACTCAAACTATCCAATCAAAACTATTAAGATTCAACCGAGTTAGTTTTTTTTTTTTTTCTTTATTATTTCGATTTGGGTTGGGTTGAATTTTTGAAAAATAAAAAATTCAATCACTTCGAGCATTGACACGGTTTTGGTATAATCAACCCAATCCTATTTTAAAGAGGTTATAAAAATTAAAAGTAATTAAAATTTATATGAATATTAAATATTTAAATTTTACGAGATTTTAATTATTAAAATAGTTTAAGAAATTTTTGGACAAAAAAAAAAAAAAAAAAAAAAAAAAAAAA